TCCCCCTCACTACATTCTCTCCCTCATCCCCCTCAGCCACACACTCTCCCTCATCCCCTCACCCACACTCTCTCCCTCTTCCCCTCACCCACACTCTCACCCTCTTCCCCTCACCCACACTCTCTCCCTCTTCCCCTCACCTACACTCTCTCCCTCATCCCCTCACCCACACTCTCTCCCTCGTCCCCTCACCTACATCTCTCCCTCTTCCCCTCACCCACACTCTCACCCTCTTCTCCTCACCCACACTCTCTCCCTCTTCCCCTCACCCACACTCTCACCCTCTTCTCCTCACCCACACTCTCTCCCTCGTCCCCTCACCCACACTCTCTCCCTCTTCCCCCTCACTACATTCTCTCCCTCATCCCCTCACCCACACTCCCTCCCTCATCCCCTCACCCACACTCCCTCCCTCATCCCCTCACCCACACTCCCTCCCTCATCCCCTCACCCACACTCTCTTCCTTATCCCCTCACCCACACTCTCTCCCTCATCCCCTCACTACATTCTCTCCCTCATCCCCTCACCCACACTCTCCCTCATCCCCTCACTACATTCTCTCCCTCATCCCCTCACCCACACTCACTCCCTCATCCCCTCACCCATACTTACTCCCTTTCAGAGTACAGAGATGACTGTGGATTCTCAGGGGGAGAAGTGACATATGGACAAGTGAATAAACACTTGTACACGAAGTCACTAAGTTATAATTGTCCTTAAAATGATCCTTTATATGGTTTCCTGACACATACTCAAAATTTAAATCTTAAAGAAACATAAATAAATAAGTTATAAACTTTTTTCATACCAATCTTCTCTTCTTCACCTCTAGGCGTTTTAATAGCATGTTACTTAGTTTTTGCAACGAGAATGACTGCTGACCAAGCAATTATATTTGTTCGGGCAAAGCGACCCAATTCCATACAAACTCGAGGACAACTACTCTGTGTAAGGGAGTTTACTCAGTTTCTGATTCCTCTTCGCAATATATTCTCTTGCTGTGACCCCAAAGCACACGCTGTTACTTTAGCACAGTATCTTATTCGCCAGCGGCATCTGCTTCATGGTTATGAGGCCCGACTTCTGAAACACATACCCAAAATTATCCACCTCGTTTGCAAATTGCTCCTCGACTTAGCCGAGAACAAGCCAGTGGTGACAGAAGAGGTGGCAGAAGTGCCCAGTCTATCTGCCGAAATTGAGAAGACGGTTTCTGAGATGATCACCCTGCAGCTGGATAAAGAGTTGCTGAGGCAGGGCAGCGATGCATCAGATTCCTCCCCGCCCACTGCAGTGCCCACAGATTTTGAGAATCAGGATGTGATTCTTTCCAGTGAGCAAGAGATTGACCCTCTTTGGAAGAGACGGAATGTCGAGTGCCTTCAACCCCTGACTCATCTGAAAAGGCGATTCAGTTGCAGCGACTCAGATTTAAAGAGGGCTGAGTCGCTTCTGGAGCAGTGGGGATCTCCGTGGACAGGGCCTGCCCAGGCATTGCTTGGCCATCATCCCGGGCAGCAGAAGCCCAGCAGCCACTGTTACACCCCCCAGTCTCCACAGCTTGATCCAAGTAAGGAAAAGCTGGTCCGAAATACATTCTCTTTCTGGAATCAGGCTAAATTTGGAGGCCTGGAAGGACTCAAAGATGAGGGGTCACCGGTTTTCCATAGGGAGACTATTGCAAAGGAAGTACAGCGGAGTAGAACCTTCTCTTCGGGTGTTTCAAGTTCATACAACCCTAGGGAACCAGTCATACCGAACCTTGCAGATATCCCTACGGAACCAAACTGTTCTCCCCAGCAAGCGCCCCGCTATCAGGATGGAACTCCTGCTGGTTGCTGCTCCGACACCCCCCGCGGCCCCGTGGACTGTGGCTTCAGCCCCAAAGCACCCTTCTCCGGTGGACGCATCCAAGCCCAGGACAGCAAAGATCTGTCAGCAGTTGCTCCACACACTGCTTTGCAGTCTGAGTTGACTGTCGAAGCCAGGAGAATACTGGCAGCCAAAGCCCTGGCAAGTTTAAATGAGTTTGCAGAAAAGGAGGAGGTGAAAAGGAAGGTAGAAATGTGGCAGGTACTTGTATTTCATTTGATTATGTGTGTGGGGGAAATACTTATGTCAGAACAAAAACATAATACATTTTACCAAATTTAAGTATTATGGGAATTTGAAGACCTGTTTATGTAATACTTAACTTTTGAACTTCAGGTTTCTCAATCTCTGTGTGAAAGAGAGCACTCAGTGCTTAGCACTTAGCAGGGCCCTTGGAGCAGGGCATTGATGCTGATGCATGTGGCGGCTTCCTGCTTTCCTGCTGGGTTTGTGGGTTGGACAGACCTCAGCAGACAGCTTTAGGAACTGACTTGTGCATCGCTAACCTGAGTCTGGTGGGGAGAATCACTGACCAAGAGACATAAGCGAAATCAGAGAAAATTCTTTTCCAAAGTCATCAACGCAAGTGTTGAGTGAGGTCAGGAGGACACGTGATGGATGCTGTCTGTACAGCATCCCTTCCTGCAGACTTCCCGGTGCACCCCATTGAGGCAACAGTCAGATTCCACAAAGCAAATGGGAGCAAGCCACAGAGTACCTTTGTGTCATTAGGTTTTTAAAAAAGATTTTATCTGTTTAGAGAGAGCAAGAGGGGCGTGGGGGTAGGGGCACAGGGAGAGAGAGGCTCCCAAGCTCAGCACCAAGCCTCGCGTGGGGCTCCATCTCTCGATCCTGAGATCATGACCTGAGCCGAAATTGAGTCAGACACTTAACTGAGCCACCCAGGCGCCCCTGTGCCATTGGTTTTACCCGAGGTTGTGTCTTTGGGGTCCATTTCTTGGCTTTTACTTAAATTAGAATGTGCAATTTTTAAATTTTAACCCCTTTTTGTGGTATATTTTCATTAGAAACACAGTCTTAAATCAGTTGTGCTCTTTGCCCTGAATGAGCAGCTGGTGTAGACAAAAGGTAGGCCTTACCACCTAGTTATCAGAAACTAGTAAACTGCCCAAATATGGGGATGACCTGGGGAGGCCTGGCTCCGTGAAATCAAGACTTGTTAGCCTATAATCGCCCACGAATTATTTGTGTATCTGCTCCTCTGTATTCTACATTAATTGAGCAAGGCATGTACACTTTCTAGGAGGTTCAGAACCTTCCAGATGCAGAGGTGGGAAAACTAGGCACAGAGCCTTGCACCCACTTATAGCTGTGGGACTGCAGAGCATGTGCACATTGTCAGAACTGCAGGTGTTTGCTGATCAAATAGTTACATATATTGATTTCTTACAACATGAAGTATTTTTCTTACTCCAAACTGAGCAAGCTTTTGGCTCATTCTGGCTCAGTCTGCGGGCCCTTCCCTTGTAACACCATAGCCATGGGAGCTAGTGGTTGGACCCCTCATAGGTCAGCCCAGCATGGGCCAGACTGTCAGAGCACTTCACATAGAAAAGCATTTTCCAGAGGTGAACACGACCCTTTTGTTTGGATAGGCTTGCCCTTTGTTTCACTTTCTGGATTTTATTATGGGCCTTTCAGCAATAAAATAACTAGAGTTCTGGAAAGAGTCCAGTGAACTGTGATTTGGATGGCGCAGTGCTGCCTGTGCCTGTGCTAGGCCCTCTTTCTTCTGCCGCATCACCTGCTCTGACAGGGACCCCGTAGGGCAGAGGATACCCTAAGATTCTTCATTAATCTTCACAGTCCTTAGGAATTAAGTATCACAGGTAGGGAAGCCGAGGGTCACGGGGGTCAAGGCACATGCTCAAGGTCATGTGGCCCGAATGTGGCAGGGCCAAGATACAGCTCATGAGTTTAATACTTTGCTAAGCCCCCTCGAGGATTTGAGAAAACATGACAGTGTAACAGCATTTTACTGGGAGGGCCTTTGACTTGTGCCGTTCTGCCCAACTTCTGGTTACTGCAGAGCAGATCTGCTGTGTATGTGACCCATGGGGAATGGGGCCTCCATACAACTAAACATATTGGCCTTTTTATAAGATAATAAAGAGGAACCAGAGGAACCCAGAGCCAGAGGACCCTGGCAGCGGGGCAGGAGCATCACGTCTGGGGTCAAGCAGAACCCAGGGAATGCCGTCTGCCCCGTTCTGCTTTGGGATCCTGGGCAGGTACCCTCTTCCTTGGGCCCGCACATCTGCTGTCAGGGCCTCACTTCAGGGGGCTGTAGGAATCGGATAAGCCACGTGCTACAGGCTGTCCTGTTCTAAGCTTTGTGAACATACCAGATGTGTGAATGAATGAATGTGCAATTATTATGCTTATTCCTGTAGCACACATAGACTTTATTTACTAATGCATAAAACTGAGCCCCATCAGAAGTTAAAATTCTTCCTGTTTTTCCCCTGCTCTCTGTGAGGTAAACTGTTAAGGCCTGCTCCTTAACTTATCTCCAGCGTTCGGGGCATGGGCAAGACTTGCTCGTCCCCTCCCCTGTGCAGTCTCAGGATGTGGGGCTGGCTCTGTGGCCAGGCCTGCATGGGACTCTGAAAAGGAACGTGAGACAGATGTGTCTGCCCAGTTGCCGACTGTTCAGCACTTTTCTGGGGCCTACTTTGAAGCTTTAGTCAGCTTTTCCTTGTCCCAGGGTAATTTGCAAATGTTGTCTTATGTATGCTTTTTTGTCTAACATTCTACTTCACCCCAGTAAGTATTTCTCTTTTGTCCCAAGGAACCTAAAAAGGAAGGCTCCCTCTTCCTGAACAGTGTCTGTGGTTTCAGAGCCCGGTGAAGAGCTTAGCGTTTGGGCCAGTTGAGCCCCTCTCTGAGGGAGCTTTAGTGCACACATGGGGCAGGGGGTCAGCTTCACAGAGGGAAACTGAGGCTTGGAGAGATTCAGCATCTCAGCCCAGTGTGCCACCTGGAGGTGAGGGCCCTAGGAGGGGTCCACATCCACCCAAAGCCCAAGACTGTCACTCATGAACAGTCTGAAGGCCATGAAACCTCAAACAGTGCTACCTCCCTGTCCCTCCCCCTCTCCCTCCTCCTCCTCACCCCTCGCCCTCCCCTTTCTCCCTCCCTGCCCCTCTTCTTTTCCCTCTCCCTTCCTCCCCCCTCTTCCACTCCCCTTTTCCTCCCCTCCCCTCTCCTTCTTCTCCATTCTCCCCTTTCTTCCCTTCTTTTTAGAAAGAACTAAATTCCCGAGACGGAGCTTGGGAAAGAATATGTGGCGAAAGGGACCCTTTCGTCCTGTGCAGTCTAATGTGGTCTTGGGTGGAGCAGCTGAAGGAGCCTGTGATCACCAAAGAGGACGTGGACACGTTGGCTGGCAGCCACGCAGATGCCACAGAAGCGCTGTTTTTATTAGAGAAGGTAAAGAGGCTGTTGGGCGGTTGATGAAGTTAACCACGGCCCTTAGCTCAGGCTTCGTGCACAAAAATCCATTATGAAGAAGGGGACTTGTGCAGAATCCCATACCTGGGTCTAATTTAGGTTTTTCCGAGGTAAGAAGAAATGCACACCCAGCATCACATGTAGAAGGTACAAAGCCAGACAAGGAGAACACCCGTAACCCAGCAGCGCCCTTCTGAACATTTGCACGTCCTTTGTGTCAGATTTAGTGCATTTGTTAATGTGGTCACGGACAACCGTATACTTCATTTTTTAGACACACACAGACATGAATGCACACGCTTGCACACGTGCGCACATGCCTGTAAAGGTGAGGACGCCCCGGATCCAGAGTCCGTTTCCTAGTCTGCCTTCTCTCTGCCCCTGTGTGAGGGGCTGAGAGAGGAGGTCGCCCCTGGGGCAGTGGCCAGGCCCTTGCCAGGTCATAATTTCTGTTTTCCCCTTCATTCAGCTCCGTGGCCCGGACAGGGTGAGGCCCCACCTCTCAGGAAAGGCAGTCAGCGTGTGTCACAGCAGCACCTGAGCTCCAGTGGCTCCGCACACAGCTTGCGCCCGTCTGTCACATGGCGCCCGCCGCGCCTTCATCATCCTTCACTCCAACCCCCTCATGTAGGGTGTTTACATTATTTCAGGGTTTTACTTCGGCAGCCATCCCTGTAATGATCACTTGTGCTTGCAGGGTTTTCTGCATTTCCGATTAGGCCCTCAGAGTAGATTTCCAGAAGCGCAGTCAGTGGCTCTCAGGGACGAGTGTCCTGGATGCATGTCGGCTCCAGAGGTGGTGTCTCCTTTGCTTCTCTAAAGGGAACAGCCCCTGGGAGTCAAGTCGGACACGTTCCTTGGGGACTTTCCCCCTGAAGTTCCAGTGGGCGCACTGCTGGGGGGCCACGGCTGTCTCTCCCCTTCCCCCCCTCCCTCCGCAGCTCCCGCCACAGGCAGGGCGTGCTCGTACTGACCCTGGGTGCCCACTAGTCCACGTACCACCGTGGCACGTCAGCATCCACGAGCTGAACTGAAACAGTTGTGTCTAGAAACGAGTGGATCCTCTCATTGGTTCACTGCAAGGAAGACATTTGATTTGAAGTTACACTGATATTCATATTCAGTTATACTTTATGTAATAACTAAGCAGCTTTGATTTTATCTCCTGAAAGCTTTTCAAATTATGTAAACACCTATCAGGAAACATTGGTAGAGCCCTTGGTAGAGAGTTTGGTGTTTGAGGTTATGAGTACTTGGTCACACACCAGCTCCTGGCTCTGCACTTGCTTTGAGTTTATGTCTGGAGGCATTTTTCAAACCACTTGTTTGATTTTGATTTCTGCAAAAACAGGGCCAGCGCCAGACCATTCTCTGCGTGTTGCACTGCGTAGTGAATCTGCAGGCGGTCCCTGCGGATGTGGAGGAAGCCATCCTCACCCGCGCCATTAAAGCCTTCACCAAGGTGGGTCACGTGCTGCTGTCGGCATAATTGCAAATCAGAATCCAGAGGCCCCCCACCTGCTCTAAAATAAAACTTTCAGTATGTTTTTCCTTAATGGAAACATGTTTGACATTTCTCAAACACAGTTGTAGACTTTAGCCAAAAAATATTAGTTTCTCAACAGTGATATTAGAAAAAGCTGAACTGTGGGTTTTTTGAAGGAGAACATTGGAACAAAGAGCTTTCATACAGAAACAATTGGATGTTGAGAAAATTCCTTTAAATCGTGTGCCAAGTAGGAGAGAATCTTTTCTGGTTGAGCCCATTCTACTTTGGGCCTAAATGTGTAACTGACCACTGAGAACCCAGCAGCGATGACCCAGGACCCTGCCCTAGTTGGCAAGTCAAAGCAGAAAGTAATAAAAAGGTTTCCTTTCTATGCACATCCTTTTGGCTTGCAGCAGTCCATCCTGGCTGAAGCAAGAACCGGGGCCATGCTGGGAGAAAAGGCTCCCCTCAGCCCTTCAGTTTGGTTCCTATCATAGGGGATGTGACACTGTCCTGAAGCACGGAGCCCAGCTTCTCAACGACGGTGTCTGCGGTAAATGTTAGCGATCCTGCCCGTTACTGTTCGGGCGGTTCACCGCGGCGTCCCCCTGTGCTCTCCACAGTGCGCCCTTGCAGGCGTCGGGGTTACTCTCGGGAGCTCTGCGGCCTCTGTGTCTCTTCTCAACAGTTTCCAGAGCCAGCGGCTCAGACCCACAGCGCGTCGTCTTTTGCACCTTACATTTATGTCTTCATAGACCACGAGGCCACCCACCTTGGGGAGGGTTGCAGTTGGGTGCTTAGCAAAGTGAACAATTCAAACCGTTATTAATGTTAATCAGAAGTTATTGTAGCTAGAATAAACAGTGTAATGACATTTCTGAATTTAATTGAAAAAATCCTTAGTGTTGGTTTCTCTGAATGTGGTAGGAATTCTTTATAATTTCTGTTGGCCTTTTAGGGGGATCCTGATGAAAAGTTAAACATAGCAGTTGTTGCAAACCCGGCTTTGAAAAGGTTGGGAGACATCTGTGGCTGTGTCCCCCGGTGCACAGTGTCGTGAGCAGAGGCCCCAACCGCTCTCGTTCTGGGCCAGCTCTTCAAGGAAGCTGTGCGGCCGCTGCTTCCAGGGTGACGAACGTTCTGTTTCCCTTCGGCCAGAGCTTTCCAGGCTTGCTGCAGCCCCTCAGCAAACACTGGGGTCACCTGCGCCCAGAGAGGTCAGCCAGGATGTGCAGCCCACCTGGGCCGCTCCGCGTCGCCCCACCTCTTGCTGGAGGGCGAGGGCGACTGTGTGATTGTGACATGCTACCTGGAGGGTAGAGTTGTTTGTCTCTGGCCCGGCCGTCCTGTATCTACAAACGTGTTAGCCAGGTCCAGGCCCTCCGCAGCACCGCCGGGAGTCGCACGTTTCTGTGGGAGTGGGAGTGGGTGCAGGTGTGGGAATTGCTCGGGTTCTCTGTCCTCCCGTCGCTCGACCCTGCAGCCGAAATACACGGACACGGTACGTCCCCACCATGGGGCAAGGGAACTAGCTTCCACGGGGGTTTTCTCTGTGGCAGACAAACACGTGGCCCTCTCACTCCCACTGCTCCCGGAAGTGCCAAGGTGGCGGGTATAGTGGTGTGCCCGTGACACAGGGCAGGCGTGGGCCGGGGCCGCGTAGCGGGCTGGTGGCGAGCTGGGCTCTCGGGCGGGTTGCCCCAGGGCAGCCTTACAGCTGGAGACCCCTTTGACAGACCCCGTCCCTTGTGCCCCCGGCGCTAAGTCTCCAGGTTCAGAACTCCGCCCTCACAGCTGCATGGCTTCACGACAACCTGCGAGTGAGCATGTCCGGGCAGGGGTTTCAGTTTTTGAGTGTGCATTCATAACTTTGGTGTTGACATGATTGGCAGTTCTAATATAGTCTTTTGATTAAAATGAATGTGTGAACTGTGTTATGTATGCTGTTTATTGTATATAATTGTGTTTGTAAGTCAGAGTTTTTTTTCCATCCTCCTTTCTTTTCTCCAAAATCAGCTGATTAAAATTCTGCTATGTCCTGAGTCTGTCTATTCTTTGTCAGCAGGTTAATTTTGACTCTGAAAATGGACCACTAGTTTACGACACCCTGAAGAAAATATTTAAACACACACTGGAAGAAAACAGGAAAATGACAAAAGATGGCCCTCAGCCTGGCGTTTAGTGATGCTTTCCTTGTGGCGGACCCCTCAGACCTAGAGACCCAGATGGCGTTTCTGCGCACAGATGAACAGGTTGGAGCGTGGAGCCACTTTGTCTCATAGCACTTTATCTCAGATGCTCTTGGTTTGTGCTAAGAACACCCATTTCTGTTGGGAGCAGTTATTTATTTTAAAATATCCTCGAGCTACATTTTTGTGTTGAAAAATTGCCATAACGTTGGTGCCACTTTCTTGTATTTATTTAACTGAATTAATACTGTTGTATTAATATGTTAAGTATGTGGTGTTTACATCTTTGTTCTTTTTGACATTTTGGAAAAAGTTGTGACTCTTCTTTCCAAAACAAATATTTTGTCAGTGGAACCCTCCTGGAGTTTTTACCAAGTAGGTAATTTTAGTAGTAAAACTTCACTGTGGATCCATCCCCCTGATCCATGACCTAAGGAAGTCACAAAAGTGTCTTAAGCAGTTTTGTATTCGTTAGTAAGAAGGCTATTGATTTTTTTTTTAAGGATCTTTTTTTAATTTGCAAATTTTTTGGTTTTTTTCTTTTTATAAATGCGTCAAAGGATTTCAAAGTATATTATTTCTCAGAGAGATTTAGTTTTGTGTTGAAGGTTGACTGTGAGGTGGTTGGGATTTTTTACCACAGGAAGTAGACTTGCTCTTGGTCAGGCTTCCAGACCCCGTGCCGACCTCTGCTGTCACAGGAGGCAGGAACGCTTCTCGGCACGTCCAGCCTGATGCCCACCAAACAGCATCTTCACAGAGGAAGCAGGGGCCATGGTGGGCAATGTGGGCAGCTGCTCAGAAGCAGGACTCCACAAGGAGGAACATAAGGCGGGGGCAGGCTCCATGCAGCAGCGTGACCACCGGCCCACACCTCCCACATCTGCCCTTCCGTGGACCCTGTCATCTCAGGGCCCTGTCTTCGGCTACTTGTCACTCTGAGAACTAAGATTCTTAAATTGAATGTGACGCACGTAGGCCGCAATCACCCTCTGGGCTCGAGATAAGAAATAAGTGAACTAGTTACTGCCTAACTAGTTCTCTGTAGACCAAACTGTCATTCAGCAGTTGAAGCCGTGATGAACATGTGCAGCACCAGAGGCCAGGCCACACAGAGGGTAATCATTTTTCCCAGTAAATGTGATATTCATCTAACCAATTTCACAGTAAGGCTATGACCTAATTTTAGAGACGGAATTTCGGGGAAAGTGAGGCTAACCATGGATGAGTCTCCCCGACTCCTGCCATCTCTGAATCAGGCGCTGGCACATCAGAAACATGGTAATCCTTGTTGGTCTTACAAACTCTGGCGGCAAATGCTGAATGTCATTACCTCCCACACTGTTTAAGTTTTCTTAGGAAACTAGATCCAGCGAATTTTAATGAACTGGCTACCCGTTCCTGAAATTTCTCATTTTTAAGTGCCTGACCTGGAAAAGAAGGGAAAGATTACATTTTATCCAAAGGTACATTATAAAAATATGTTTTTTACCCAAAAAGATGTTCACCGTCATTTCTGTCGGTCTCACATGGGCAGGTGCCAGCAGGGCTCATTGGACAAGTGGCTATTGGCCTGTGTGTGAGATGGTCCCGCATAGCCCCAACGTGACCATGGCAGTGCACCAGACTGAGGAAGAGAGCTGGTGGGAGAAATAAATCAGGCTGTCTGCAGGCTTTGTATGTATTTGAATAAAAATGAAAAGAACAACCCATAACCCTCGTATACTTTAGCTTGGAGCTCCTGATGATACAGGTGTGGTTGGTGATGGGACGATCCTGACAGGCAAACTGGGTCATGGGCTGGACATCAGTCAGGCTCTGGTCGGTCCCAACTCTGCTGGTCCAGTATGAGCAGGCGGGGCAGGAGGGGAGAGGAGAACTCTAGGAGGAGCGGGTGAGGGGAGTCTTAAGGCTGGCGGGGTTCCTGCCTTCCTGCACTTGAGTGGATGAGGAGTTTTCTGCAGGCCAGAGGATAGTTCCACTGACCAGAAGAACTTACAGGGTTTTGGGATTCAGCTCAGTGGAAGTGTGAAGGGCCAAGAGCACACACTCAGAACTGATGGCCATGGCCATGCATGTGCGTTGTCTGGGTTCTTACCAGACCCGGGGAGAAATATTATTCATACTTGCCTGTTGAAGGAGTCCCAGTCTGACCGACTGCTGACTATGCCCTCCTCCCTCCCCACTGACAGAATGCCTGGCAGGGACCATGGGCCTTGTCAGCACTGGGCTCCATGGTGGCACCATAGAGCATTGCATTGTTTGTCACTTAGTGAAGTACCCATCATCTCTGTCCTCTGGAGCCGGCTGAGCTGCCATGTCACTGTCATATCATCTCAGCATATCTCACTTAGGAAGTGCAGGATTTCCGGCCACTTACCAGTTTTCCTTCTATCCGAGAGCTCGCTGATGCCCTCTGCACCGAAGTGCTGCTGGTTTTCAGATTGCTTTATCTGTGTGCAGAACTCAGAAACACCCTGTAATGTGCTTAGTCGTGTCTTCAGCCAGCTCCCCAGTCTTATCTCAGGAAGAGCATGTGCTTTCATCATGCTGGCGTCCATGAAAAACCATGTATCATAACTTCAATAAAGTTTCTCTGTTTTCTCTTAAATGGAGGACACCTGCTCATGTGCTTGCATGCTGTTTCAGCCAGTTCTTTAGAGGTCTGAAGAAATCTCCGGAGACAGTCTGCTGCAGACAAATTGCATATCCCAAGCTCCCGATATCTGAAGGCCCACAAGTAATTTTGGGGATTGGTTTAATCTGACAGTTTGCTCAAGACATCTTTGTTCTTATTGTTCCAAATGAACAAGGATCGATATATTTTCAGTGCAAGTAAAACAAGAATGACATTCCCTTTGGTGCTTTTTATGAATATGGCTCAAGAGTATCACCTTATCTAAAGGAGCCTATTTGGGGCACCTGGGTGGCTTAGTAACTTAAGCGTCTGCCCTCGGCTGAGGTCATGACCTCGGAGTCCCAGGATGGAGCCTCACATTGGGCTTCCTGCTCAGTAAGGAGTCAGCTTCTCCCTCTCCCTCTGCCTCCTGCTCCATTTCTCTCTCGCTCGCTCACTCTCTCTCCCTCACTCTCAAATAGATAAATTTAAAAGAAAATAAAGGAGCCTACTCAATGTTAGACGGTTGAAAATTGTTTACAGATAACATGACAGGAGAAAAATTCAACAAATCCTGTGATGCAGTTGTGCATTTGTTATGCTTTTAGGCATGAGCTGGCCTCTGACTAGCCCAACACTGACAGTAAAACTGACTTGTGAGTGATCACGATGGAGGCCTTGAGCAGTGTGTCTTGGGGAAACCATCATTGTCAGCCATCATTCAAAACATCCAGTCATGGAAGACAATGTCCGAACCAGACTTTACGATCATAAGGCCTCATGCACTGAAGTTTCGTTTGTCCACAGGGTTTATATTCCAACAGAAGACTGTAATGTCCTTGCCTCCTGGCTTTCTTGATTAAAGTGAAAAGATGTTTGACTCTTAAGATTGCCTGTTTTGGGGAGAAGTTATATTTTTGGAGTAGTTTCCTACTTACATGGCCATTTGATTAGAGCCTGAAAATACTCCTTGGCTTTGATTTAGTGAGTTGCTTTCTCATTTTCTTTCTTCTCTTAAAAATAAAATAAAAAATAGTCAGCCATTGAATTAGACTGAACCATGTGGAATAGCCTGCAGGTCAAAAATGATCACATGTGGCCATTTCCTGTGGTTCAACCTAATATTAAATTTAATGCTCCTGAGACCAGTAGGGGTTATTTCCTGTATTATTTTAACAAAGTTTAAATTAGATGATCAATTATTTTCTAAGAATATTCTCTATGCTCCTAGTGGACTTCAAAACATGTGGAAGAGACCAGTGTGAAACTCCTTCTCTTTCAGCAAGCAAGGCCATGCCCCCTCTGTGTGTGGCTCTCTGCTGATGCTGGGGGTACACGGGGTCATTTTCTCAGTCGTTCGTCCTCTGTCTGGAGCCAAGTTTAGCACATGCTTGGAACTAATGCTGGAAGTCTAATTCTCAACACTGTCGCTCAATTCTGAATATCCTTCAAAACTCAGTTCTAATTCCTTGGAACAGAGTGTGTTAAATGTAGTCAAATTCAGCTACTTGACTATGCAGCCCAAGGAGATGGAGGGGTATTACAGGCTGGACAATGTCCTGAAAATCATGTTGAAGTTCTAACCCCTGGTACCCCAAAATGTGACTGTATTTGGAGATGGGGTCGTTGCAGATGTAATTAGTGAAGACGAGGTCACTAGGGTGGCCCTAATCCAGCATGACCAGTGTCCCTGTGAAAAGGAGCTGAGGACACAGACATGCACAGAGGACAACCACGTGAGGACACGGGAAGACGGTGTCTGCCTGCCAGGAGATAGGCCTTGGGGGAAACTGGCCTGCCCACGCCTGGGCCTCAGACTTCCCACCTCCAGAACTGTGAGAACATACATTTCTATCGTACCAGCCCGGGCCATGGTGTTTGTTATAGCAGCCGGGGCTGACCAATGCACTCCTCAGTGCTTCCACTGTACCTTGTGTGTGTTTCTCTATCATGTTACCTCAAACAGCACATTGCTTGGATTTGCTTGTTTCTCGACTTTATACAAATTGAAGAACGCAGTGTGTATTCTTCTGTGACTTGCTCACATTGTCCAACATGTTCCTCACATTTTTCCATGTTGGTGTGTGGAGCTGTGGTTCCTGTGTTTTCACTGTGGTGTGGCAGCCCATTATGTGGATGCCCCACAGTTTACCCCTTTGACTTGTGATGGACACTTGGATGATTATATTTGTAGATAAATACAAACACGTGGGTGCACACATAGTGGCTGTGGAGCTACAGGTGGCATTTATGGGCTTTAGGGCATGCACATGTCCAGTTGCTTTCACAATGACAAGGTATTTCTGAAATGATTGCCTCCATTTATCCTCCCAGCAGTGATGAATGCGAGTTCCCATTGCTCAGTGGCCTTGACAA